AGGGCACTCTGCCTTTTAAACTTTGTTTATCCTTAGGGCGTTAACCCCTACAAACTTTCATAAATCAGTGAAAAAAATGCTCAGACAAAGTTTATGATTTAATCATTTTCTTTTTTGGACAATCTTTCTTTCCTACTTGCCTATGAGAACATCAAAGACCCCACGTTCGTAAGGTCTCTGGATTCGATCTTCAATTACACCAGTGTAAGATCACTTATACAGCCCCCCCCCCCCTTTTTTTTCTACACACACGCATACACACACAGACACACACACATACACACACACATACACACACACACACACACACACACACACACACACATACAAACATGTACACACATTGTAGTGAATCAGTTCTTCAAATTAAAACATCCCCCAAATAAAACAAAATAAGGAAATAATTACTTTTGTTTGTGTGACACAACCGCAACCAGTTCCCGACAACGATTTGAAAACAATACTTTACAAGGTCTCAGCATCCAGAATGCCGATGACACCATACTCGTCAATACGGAGCATAATTTATTTTTACTAATGAAATCTCTCCCTTTCGTCAGAAATAAAGAGCTAGTAACACTGGGTGAGTTGATTAATATACTTAACCCTCTCTCGGAGTAAACAAGACAGCTCTGACGTAGTCTACGCAGTTATCGTGAAAAGATCACATCCAACTCACACCCAGCGTAGGAATTCGCGCGCGCATACCTGTAGTAACAATGATGTATGAACAAATAATCGACAGCCTGTTTGTGCCTCATACACGCTATGTGGGGTTGGGGGAGTAGCCCGAGTGTATCTTTTGTTGAAAATTCTGTCAAACAAAACCAGGAAGTGATACAAACAACAGCTGTCTGTTTACATCTGAGAACATCGTCGAGGTAAGGGCGAGCACCCCAGCGCCTGCCTGCACGTGTCTGACGTGACGTCACGGCCCTTCTACCCACACACCGCCTCCTTATTCTCGTCGTTTGGGAAGAGTTCTGAACGGGAAGATTTATCCTAACATCCGGGACCTTTCCCTAAAATTTTACTAGAGGCCTTGATCTTGTTTTGATGACGAGTTTGTGAATGGAATTTTGTAGTGAAGAAACGTCTACTATAACCGACGTCACTTGGTCTTGCCACAGCACAGCTCACCATTTTGGTATGAGCGTTTCGCTAAGCAGGGCCTATCCGTTATAACCACCTGTTGATTCGCGAGAAACCAGGGGGAAAGGGTTGTGAGGGTGGGGGCGGAGATATGTTTTAAACCTTATTTCTATATTAGGATTTTTTCAATTTTGGGAGGGTCTCAGCAGGTGCCTCAAGGTACCATTCTCGGCCTAGTACATGTACATGAACTTTCTGAGACACTAGGACTTATGTGTGGAGTCTGTAGTTGGAAAACACTGAGCTCACTCAACAATTTATAACAACATCAAAGCGCACAGTAGTGTTCATTTTGTTTCATTTCAAATCCTAGATTTTCAGAGAGTTCTTTACTACAGGGGAGACGCAATATGAAAGTAAATTTTCCGTTCACTTGTTACTGTAGCTTGAAAACAAATATAACAGACGGAGGGCTGCTATGTTACCTCCAGTGATGAGGATCTAGCCTGTCCAATGGCTACCACGCGCAGTGTCCACTGTACACGGATTCGGGTTTCTTCCCCAATAAGAGAAGGGAGACCCGGAGTCTGTGGTGTAGTGGTTAGGAGCTTCACCGTCTCACGCAGGACACATGAGCTTGATTCCGTTATAGGGAGAAATGTTATCGAGTATCTCAGGCTTTCTTCTGGGACACTATATCCCTCAAAACACAGGTTGGTCTGACAGGCAAGAGCGAAAGCCGCTTTCTAAATGTTTTAAATTCGAAATGGATGTAAAAACAAATTACATTTCGAATTTAAAACATTTAAAAACGAATTACAATTGAAGGTCGATGAAAACACGTACATTAACCCATCCGTGGGCCTGGGGTCATTTTGTACCCCGGGGTTGTATTCTTCACATTTTAGAATACTTCTAGTGCAAAGATCTCTTTGAAACTTTCAGTATTTCTCAAAAAATCATTTTGACAGATTGCTATGCAAAGCGTACGGATCGGATTAACGAGTAAATTTCCCCTTTGGAAAGTGGTGGCACAAAGTTCCCCACGCCGTATGGATACGATGGTAAAACACGACGTACGGATAGGGTTAAGTGGTGGCACAGAGTTCCCCACGCCGTATGGATACGATGGTAAAACACGACGTACTGATAGGGTTAAAAGAACAAGAAGGGAAGTGTTTACCTCTCATGTCTTTGTCAACCAACATCTGGGATGTAACTGCTAGGCCCTTCGCAGTGGCTCGCAGAATTCCCATGTTGGGAGGTGTTACTTTTTTATCGAGTAATTTTGTCTGCCTTCAAGGACATAGTGCCCTATCGGAACTGGTGGACCCTGACAAGCTAGGTCGAAGCAGTCTAATTTATTACTTGTAATAACTTCCATCAAATTAATCGATCACGAAACGGATGTGTTGAGACTGTTCTATATCATGTTGTCTTCAATCTTAGCAGGACTTTTAGGAGGCAGATGGAAACCGTGGGAATTTCATTTTTTCAATGAAATTGTGAATAATCGTTTGGCATTTGTGGCGGGCAGGGAGAGGATGGGTTGGGGGTACTAGAAAACGCATAGTAATAATTACCTTCTTTCAAGACAAATTGCTTCCCCGAAGTTTCCGATTTTGCTTCTAAGTGTAAATTAATTATTTGTCGGCCGTTCTAGAAAGAAGCGACGATTTGTTACAGGATTACACAATCATGGTAAGAGACAAGAAGGATGGGGTAATTTCAGTCCCCGCTCCCATGAACGAATGGCCTCCACCATCGACATTACCTAGACCACCCCATCCTACCCCTCACCCCCGTATTGCCTCCCCCACACTTCTCTTTCTTCGATTCCCTAGAAGCTCGATGCGATATGTGTGAAAAACAAAAGACAAACAAATATTCCATTTGAGTTTGAGCAACACAAACAAAAATTCAGTGCTGCTTAGACTTCCACCTCACAGCTCCCATGTTTCTCGAAAAATGTGAAGAAATCAAAATTAAATTACCAATCGGAGAGATGGTCTGGGGTTGTTGGGTTTTTTTTGTGGTTTTTTTTTTGGGGGGGGGGGTGTTTCAATTGTAACCTGTTACGCTCATGCCGATATCATTCACATCTTTCATCTCTGATGATTGCCATATACCCATCTGCAGCTAGGAGTGGTTGGTTGGCGGGTGCTGTCTGTCGTCCATACCTCTCATCCTTCTTTTCTCCGTGTGTTACTGTTACTCCATAGTAAAGCCTCTAAATTTTAGCACTTAAAAGTTATAATACGGTTTATGTGCATTGCAAGTGCCGTAAAACCCTTTCTTAAACTAAAAGTAAAGGAGCTGGATAAACATGGAAAGTAGGGGTAAATACCTTATAAGTACGCAGCGTCCTAATTCTATCTGGTGATAAATAAGACAGTGGAAGTACAAGCGTAGAGTTTGTTTTTAACTTGGAATTGAACTCTATGCTTATAGTTATATCATTGCGACCTAGACCACTGTTTTCCAATATGACGGAAGAGAGAGAGAGAGAGAGAGAGAGAGAGGGGGAGAGAGAGAGAGAGAGAGAGAGAGCGAGAGAGAGAGAAAGAGAGAGAGAGAAGAGAGAGACAGACAGAGAGAGAGAGAGAGAGAGAGAGAGAGGGAGAGAGAGAGAGAGAGAGAGAGAGAGAGAGAGAGAGAGAGAGAGAGAGAGATTCTTGACCCGCTTACACAGAAAACTTTCTCCGATGCCTCAGGAAAGCGGGTACTTGTGTTCAGTATGTTGTCTCTTTTTTTATCCAATATTAGCCCAATCAAGGATTTCTCAAGATGGAGCTGATCACGCAAGGCATGAAAATAGCCAACCAGTCACGACTTGCATTGTCTAAAGAGCTATCCAAATGGCTTAGGCAGAACAATTTTATGATTGTAACCTCAAGAAGACAATTGTTCACCTAAATTGTGTTCTTTCCGCCACTGCCCATTTCGGAGCGTTCTGATGCAGAATATAGACACAGACACGCAGACCGACACGATTTCTGTATTGATTCTTTCCCCTGCCTGCAACAGCCATTTGCATATCATCTTTTCAGTTTCCTGCCTTGTGGAAACTTGCATGTTTGGGGAATATTCCACTCTGGTAGCGATCTGAAAAAAAATTGGCAACAATTCTTCCATTGATGTATTGCATTGAAGACTGATAAAACCGAGGAAATTCTAATAATTCCCGCAGTTTCAGAATATGATTGGCTCATTTGCATCTCAGAATCTAGTGTTACTTCAGCATAGCAAATACCAATAGAGTTTAGACTCAAAGTTTTAGTAGCTTATTAAGGACACCTGCAACAATAAAATGATTATGAATTTCTGTAGTTATCCTCCGATGAAAGATTTAACATTATGAAAATTATAAACAAACAGAAATTGTGTAGTCATTAGGCCCGGAAAACAGATAAGTGGAAAAGGGAAATCTTTTCGGTATTTATTTTAATCTGTATTGTCATTAACTATTATCATCAAGCCGCTGAGAAGGATTCTGGATATTAATAATGAAGTTACATCTTCACTGTCTATGTTCGTTTAGGACGACACAACTTTTTTGACGTATGCAGTCTGGAATACTTAGACGACTTTATTCTTCCTTTTCCCCCTTCGTATACGGATACAGAGCTGAGGGTTATACGAGACATCAGCACAGTGCAGTTCGTCGTGTTTTTGGAGGGTCTGTTTGTTGTTTAAAAAAAAAAGAAAAAAGAGAGGGGGGTGTGTATATAAGCCTTACTCCAATTATCTGTGGGCTGACTTTTTATAAATCCTTTTCTTGATGTTTGAAGGTCTTATGAATAGACATTATGATATTTCCCACTTCTTGCTGAATTTCATTAGGTCTACCTGTATCTCAAGCAACATGTTTTTAAAGATGATCTCTTTTTTTGTCTTGTTTTCTCCAGATCATACTGACAAAGAACTTCAAGACATCTTCAGTCACAGCTCCCTATGATACCCTCTGAGGAAGCAAGTGATATTATGCCATCTTGAGAATATCTCAAGGTCCTGTACGGTTCAAAGCTAGCGACATCAAGACCGTTGTTCTTTTACAGACTGAGATAAAATTCACTATGGCGTCCACGTACAATTCATCGGGTGTCGAATCTGACGCCATTTTGGACGTCGCTCTCTCACAGTTAGGAAGTCTTTACCGCAGAGTAAACAGCACGAACGAGACAGATTCTGGCAACATGACCGTGCCGTCAAACCACTCGACCACAGCGTTCCCCAAAAACATCACGAGCACACCATCAGGCGGCAGCAGCAACAACCCTCTACAGACATCCACTTCGGACAGTTCAATCATCGCGAAGATAACACTGTTGCTCGTGGTAACCGCTGTTGTTCTTATTGCCTCCTACAAGTTTGTGGTGCGGCTTTTTCTGGGCTATGCCGACAGGAAGGACGAGGTCTTCCCAGACGGTTTTTCGGATGACGAGGATTCGGCGGTCGTCAAGAGAATAGCCACAGGGAGCTTGGACATAGGCTGAACAGGAACTCATTGCTCCCTCCTTTCTTCTGCCAAAATTTGATGAAACGTTTCAAATCTTCTAGAAATTGTTGTGGAAACGAAAGTGACACCTCGGCAAGAAACAGCATTTTTACTTGTGTGTTCTTTAAGCACGTAAGACTTATCGTCTCAGGCGAATAATGACGCCTGTACTGTTATATCTGCATCTCACTGTGCGTATGTTACTTTTCTTGACCCATTCACTTTACAAAATGGCTCTTATCACTGTTCAGATATGTTTACCGAATGTTAATGAAATTCTTCAGATGTTCTTGTTAGATGTGTCAAATATTCAATCTTTGGGACTCACCCTATTCACAGATTGCTACTGAATTACAGTGACCTGAACCTGTCATATTATTGAGTGGTATATTCCTGGCGTTCTTTCACACATGACATCGATCGACTCCATGTTCATCGCTTTCTTCATTTGGCAATGGGTTAATCAAGAGAAAGCCTTTTTCCAAATGCCACGCACGATTGCATGTTGAAATCTTATTTATCTTCACACATGCCTTCCGTACGTACAGGTATGCATTCAGTTTCCACGACAGACCAACATATTTTGTGCAGATTTTTTACCTTTATTTGCAAATTACATGTACTTGTACACGAGAATGTATGTGTAGTAACTTTAAGTTTTAATTTTAGTACACGATACATCCAAACATTGTTTCATTGCAAAGGTGACTGTATAAACGGCTTGGTGTTGTGACAAGTGTCTACTCTTTTTACCTCACCAATTAAACAAGCCATTTCTTGTATAACTTTGTTAAAATTAAAGTTCAATTTTTGCACTTCTAGTGTGAGATAATTAGATACGATTGTGTTCTCCCAATAAATTCTTTGTTCAATTTACTTCTTTACAAAGTATATGTCTTTTTTGTTGTCTAGTTCTTGTCCAACAAACTGAAATATTTAAAAATAAATCGCATTTGTTGTCGTCTTTCTTACCTTTATTTTTCATCATTTACCCAATCAAATAACCTCCTAACTTTTGGATGTATTTCTCATCCGATGTTCGAATGTTTGTAAGTTTGAAATGTGAAAGAAATGAACCCTTGTATCAAAGGCTTCTAATATTTTGTACAAGAGGTCTTTCTGAGATTTCGTTTGTCTTTTTTTCTGAGAGCAGCCTTTTTGTTGTTTCTTTATTTTTCTTTAGGAATCTTTGTTTTTATACATTTTCTTAGCTTCCCATGACTTCACGATAAAGTCGTTGTTGTTGTTGTCGCCATCGTTGTCGTCGTTATTGTTGTTGTTGTTGTTGTTGTTATTATTATTGTTGTTGTTGTAGTTGTTGTTGTTGTTATTGTTGTTGTTATTGTTGTTGTTATTGTTATTGTTGTTGTTGTTGTCGTCGTCGTACTCAATATTTACGTCAGTCTCCAATAGTAATTTTACTGAACTTATTAGATTTATGTCATCTGAGCTGCCGTGTTGTCATTATAAAAATCATTCTAAACTTTATATTTTGCGCTGGCCATAATGCCCATTGACCAATTAAATATAATAAGTTAATGTCATTGTCCATTAGCCTAGGTAAAACAGGTTGAACAGAGCTTATTTTTTTACGTTGCATTTGTTTTTCGTAAAAAAAAAATTGTAATGCTTGTTGTCTCGGCACATCTTTAGTCACGTAATCTTTATATTTTACATAAAATTTTAAGTTTGTTTCATTTTTCATCGTCCGGTTTTGTAATGCAGGACAGCTGAGCTGTGCTTGCAGTATAAGAAAAATAGTGCCAGTTCCAACGAATCGTCTTTCTATTTTAATAGTACACAGCCACTGAAAGGAGGTATCAAATGACTATGACGGCATTGAGCGAATTAGGTTTGAATCTAATTTTTTTTTAAATTCTGTAACACCTTTTAGAATCCAGAATAGATTAGACAATGGCTAGATCCCCAGAGTTGACTTCACCTTTTAGACAGAGAAGAATCCAAAGCCTTGAAATACTCCCAAAACATATGTGTCATGATACGGTGGAATCAGGCGCTCGTCGATTTTTGGGTATGTGGAGTTATTAGTGTCATCTGAAAGCTTATGGATTTGCCCTGCTTTCAATGAAACAAAAAACCCATCTACCTTGTGTTGAAGTAGAGATAGTTGCGATTGGACGAGGTGCAGGCGACTGGTTTGAGTGGGAAAATTAAGGAAAAATGGCCGCCGAGGTTTGTTAATTTCAATACTTGTGAGTCTCAGAAAACTGAAAAATTCATATTTTGTACTTTTAATCAGCGTTTTTTTAAAAGCAAAATTAACATGGAAGTTTATTTTTATATGGACATAAAAGAAAAGGAATTGAACAAAACACAAAAATTCGATAAAAATGGTCGGCCAAACTGATAGAAAAAATGCCTTTTTCTTCGACTGTATTTTGACGAGAGCCTGATTTCACCACAATGCCTCACATATTATGATACCCAGAATCTAGCAAGGATTCAAACCCATTTCTCGGACAGTATAGTGGAGTGTCCTACAGTCTGAGGAATCCCTGACAAGGTTGGTGTTGGGTACAAGTACTTGATATGTAAAGTATGCTACATGACAAAACTTTGAAATCTCACCGTACAAACTTTTCTTATTTTTTTCTCAGCGCATTGTAGTATGAGTTATGGTTTAATTCAGCATTTTGATACAAGTGGTTCCTTGCCAACAAAGGAATAGTTTATCCGCATAGATAGATTATGTATCACGACGCAGTGGAAACAGGCGCTCGTCAGTTTTTGGGCATATAATGTGTGGGATTATTGGTATGTTCTTATAGCTTGTTCATTTGTCTTGCTTTAGGTGGACAAAATCCCGATCTATCTTGAATAGAAGTAGAGACATTTAGGGTTGGAGAAGGTGGGGTTTTCTGTTGTCATAGGTAAAATTAGCGAGAAACTGGCCTCCAAATTCTGGCGACTTCCAAAGTTTGAGCGTCCTTGGAAACTACAAATCTACATTTTTGTGCCTTTGATAAACATTTTTCGGTAAAATCGACACATTCAAGTGTTCTTAAACGGGCATAGAAGGTGATGAGGCACAAAAAAAGAAAATATTTATTTAAAAAATGTCAATTTAATATATTTCACTACTTTGACGAGCGCCTGATTTCATCATGCTGCCTCACAAATGAACTCCAGTCTGTGTATGTATGTCAGGTTGAGTACTGTATCTCTATAGGCATATTATTTTATGAAAAGTGAGAGAGATGTTACTTTCTATCTATCTGTCATGCTCTTTACTTGCCTCCTTTCATGAAAGATGGGGTGAGAAAAATGTGGTTACATGATATATATTAAGAAGTAAATGTTTACTGGTTTGCTAAGAAAATAAATTACATTGACAAAACTACTCCTTAAATGTGAATATTATTTATTTCTTAGCATTATGTTATCTGTTCAATATTTCTCCCACAAGAAGAAGGGGGCCGGTGCCAATTGGAGGTTCAAGGACACAGTTACCGTTCAGCATTAAAGAATGGAAAGAAGAAACAATGAGCGGAGCATTTGAAACATGGCGCTGAATTCTGAGCTCAGCTTCATGTTCCTTTTACGACAGTCGTCTGTTTATCCTGGCCTCTTGGGTTGGTTTAGTTAAGTCCCCTCAAGGATGCTTCGGGGCTTTTCAGGGAGGGCGTATTGCTCTCTGAAATTATTTGAGCTTTATCTATAACTGGAGTATATTTAAACTCTGGTCTTTAACCCTTAAACACTCGTTCTGTTATGGGAAAGGAGTGAGCCATTACTGCTGCTACAATTAGATTATTTTTTGCCAACTTTAAAGGCATAACTGCACAGGTACATAAGAATAAACTAAAAAGATGCTGTCACCCTTTGCAGCTCAAATTGTCCATGTCAAAGATGTGGACCGGCGTCTATGCAGCAATGACTGGGTTCATCATCGTTGTGTGCTACGAATGTGATCGAGTTCAAATCCTGCTTTGGAATGTCTATTTATTTATATCTCCAGTTAGATGCTGCATCTCACTCAGCCCTGGTTGGCTGTGACTGGCAGATTCAAGGCATCCTGCTTCCTAAAATGTCTACATTGATCCAGAGGCGGCATAACAATAATTGCAATCTGTGCAAAAGATTAAAAGGGTTGAGTTGATAATATCCGAAATCATCAGAAGAGTGTCCCTTTGTATGTATTTTTAAATGATGTGGCTGCTTATAACCTCTGAACATTAAGATACAAATGTTGCACGTTCCACTCGTAACTACCATCTCATCATACTCGATATCAAGGAGAAAAATGTACAATTTATGCCTAAACCTCACCGTCCTCCCCTTAGTAGTCTTTGACATTGAATAAATGCACTGTGACACGTACTCACCCTTTTACATGGAACCACACACACAAACACACACACACACACACACACACACACACACACACACACACACACACACA